AAAAAAAACTCTAAATAGTGTTAAAATATAAAGTTTATGCTAAATGACTGTACTTATACCTTTCAAGTCAGGGGACTACAAAAAGCTTTACACTACGTTCACACTAAGTCGTTTACTCAGTCTCAAACACACATTCACACACTGATAGTGGTAAGCTACATTATAGCCACAGCTGTCCTGGGGCACACGGACAGAAGCGAGGCTGATGTCCACAGGCACCAACAGGCCTCTGACCACCATCAGTAGGCAATGTGGGTGAAGCATCACAATGACTCAGACAAAGGGAGCTGAGGTTAAAACCAGTGGACCGCTGGTTGCAGGACAAACCTTTTTATAAATGCAGTTTATTAATTGTGCCCATTAAAAAAATAACAAGAAAAAAAAAACTATGTTATCAGAAATGATCAACCCAAACAACCAAATGTAGTAAGACAAATAGTTCAACACTATTTAAGGTTACATTTAAAAATGTGATTATTTAAACAATGAAAACCAAAGTATGATAACAGACAAAGGTTTATAACTAAACTATTTCAAGTTCAAGCATAATCATGGCTGGAAATTATAACTAGTCCTTAAGAAAAATACAAGCATTGTAAAAAAAAATTGCATGCCTTTTTTTAACTGTTCCAGATATGAACACAACTAGGGCATCAGCTGAATGTGGAGAAGCTTTTATTAAATCGCACCAAAACTAGAGATAAACTGTGTTTTTATCTGTTCTAATAAGGTTGCAAAAAAAAAGTTACTACTTAGTACTTTAAAGGTCTTTAATGATTTGTTGTTAAAATACTTTCTGGTTCTACCCCCAATTTTCATTCCATGTTAATAACCTTATGACTTGAAAGTCTGCATAGCCAAAAATATCTTTATTTATCTTCTTATTTTGTTTCTGTTATTAACTGAGGTTCAGGCAGTGGTTTCAATGGGGAAAAAATACTCTGTGCAAGATTGTGTCACAATAAACCTTTTTTGATTCTGATATGTTTCAACAAAATATAAATAGAACAGGGAAAAAAGGATATGAATCAGACTAATGAAGCTTCACTCACCAAATATCATAATCACTGCCGCTTGAGAACAGCAGAGACTTTTGGATTTGTGGAAAAAATTATGATTTACCTGAATGATCAGGTAGGTGACAAATTCATTAATATTTTGCTCTATGCACCTGCCCTGGGACATGTTGATAACAGTAAGCAGGCAACTTGCTGTATGCATCTTTCCCTTAATTTTACAGGACGATGATTTTCATGTGCATACCCTTGATAAAATACACATTAGAAACCAGTGTCACTCGCGTCTATGCACAGTTATGTGCAAATGCCCACATAGTCGAGCCAAATGCCTTTAGAAGAAAAGTTTTACAGTCAGAGAAAGTTTTCTTGCAACACTAAAAGGAAGTGTGCTTGAAGCAGTCAGGATGAGTATGTCTACCTTCAGAAAACTCTTAACAACTTAACAACAAATGTAGAAGCCTTATGCTGAAGGTCTGCTTTGCTCCCAGACATACCTGTGCATTGAACAAAGAAGATGAAAAGTTGCAAAAAGGCTCCTGCCTCCAGATTCTTCTACTTCAATTTGAACCAGCACCTCCACAACACATACATATACACAACTGTGTGTCCCCATTGGAAAGAGATCACAAACAAGCGATAAACAAAAATAAATAAACTGTGTATAAAGCAGACAAACATTGGATTTTAGAAATTACCTTTGAAAATCCCCAGACTAAACCATGGTTAAAATAAATGCTTCAAATGGGGAAATTAAAATAAAAAATAAAAATTAAACTGACAAGAGCAGCAGTTAATCATAATGCCAGAATCATGGTGCCTTTGTTCAGAGCTACAGAGTTTAGCTTACTTGCAACTTACTTAGAGACATTAAATAATATCTAACACTATATAATTTGGACCGTATGAGTATTTTAGAAAAGTCCACCATAAATGAATCCTGTTGATTATAATCGAAGTTGACTGCATGATCGTTCCTGTAAGAAAATGAAATGCTTGAATTAGGGCTGTCAAATGATACCTTTTTTTTTTTAATAACGATTAATTGCAAAAGCTTAGTTAACAGTGATAATTAGTGGTTTCTAAAATATATCTAAAATAGGCCTACTGTTATTTTACATATCAAGGCAGTTCTAAGCTCAGCATATTTAACTATAGTCTTCAATAGGAATCAAATAAAAACAGAATTTCCTTTTTGACCTTTTTTAATAAATAAAACATCTCAGAGGCCCCACTTTTACATGCTAGCTGCTATAGTTGCATTTGAACGGACTTTCACTGTTCTTTCTGCTCATGTGAAACCTAGATCTTAGTGGCCAAGATGTTAAAGCTTAAGGGTTGTTATGGATTTATTAAAGAAGAGCAAGACCAATGTTACCAAATTTTAAAACATATCACATTTGCATTATCTTAAGGTCTTGCATCATGATTTTTAAGCCTTTTGAAGTACGTAAATTAAAAAATAAATTCCTTCATTACAACAGAGCATTCACTTGTCATCAAATAGTTGATTTCCTTCGATCTGAAAGAAATACTCCTGCCTTTACTGCAACGCTAACTCTTCCCATGTGGGTGTTGCCCAAGTTTATGACCTTGCTTTCAAACAGCTGCAACACATTATCACACCACCTTTGCCAATTAGGGTCATTTCTTAGGATACCTGAACATAGTCTATGACCTCTTCCAGCCAAAAAAAAAAAAAAAACACACTTCTCACCACTTAGACAATAGCTAAAAAGAGCAGTTGCTGCAACTGTTAAGATCAGCTGCTAAAACAGAGAGTTTGCCTCAACTTCGGGCAAACATGATCACGCTCTGCTACACATTACTGCTCGTAGATCAGAGAAAGTGGGCATTTACTGTTAAGGCACGCCACATTCAAGGTAGGGGCTTCATGGAGGGGTAGGACACGACAGTTATATGCAGATCTGCCGTGGCAGCGCATTTTTACCGCACAGGGAAGGAGGACGACATGCAGGAATCCAGTAAAATACCATTTTGGGCATAACTTTTAGTTATAAATAACAGATCTCAAAGCTCAAAAACATTGATTTTGTATGATATAAGCACTCTAATACTTAATTTCCTTTTTCTTTCTTTTATTATACCTAGCATGGTGACTGGTATTAATCAGATAGCTACACATAAAGTACTGGGCATGTTTTTACATTATTCTTGGCCACATGTTTAAGCAGGTTTCTATCGACAGAGAGTCTCCAGATCTGTCCACACCAACATCTGCCATCACTTTGGCTCCAATTTAAAGGCATGAAAAACTAATCAAATATCTTTTTTTTCTTTTAGATTACATCACATTGCTAGTGTGAGTACAGCAGGTTTGACTCACTAGCTTTTGGATCTTAAGGTCCAATACACTCAACGCATGCATGTAGCAAGCAAAAGTCTTGAAGCCGAAGTTGTCTTTTTGCCTTTTAATAATAAAAAACAAAGGGTAGCATACAAAATTAATTTGTTTCTAGCTTTTTCTAAAAAGCTAAACTAAAATGGTCAAAAGACTGTGTTTCTCCAAGGTCCAGTGGCTTCTGATCTGATCATTAGAAGATTTTTCTAATATCAGTTCAAGTATCCAATCAGAAATAAGCAATGTTATGTATCGTCCATCACTGGTCAAATATTTACTCTGCTGCTGCTGCTGCTGCAAAAAAAGAAAAAAATAAACAAAAAAAAGCATAATACTAATATATTAATCATTTTACAATACTAAGTAACCAAAATTATCATACAAAAGATGGCTTCACCAGCTAGATTTCACTTTTTTAATAGAGATTTTATGTGACAGACCAAAATATCATGACATTATGTTATGAAATTTTGGCTGGGGAGTGTTGGCCTAGTGGGTTAGAGCAACGCACTTGGGCTCTGTGACGGTTGCAAGTACCTGGTTTGATTCCCACAGCAAAACCCTTAACCCCACGCTGCTCCCTGGGTGCCGCACAATGGCAGCCCACTGCTCCCCATGGGGATGGGATAAATGCAGAGAATGAATTTCCCCATTGTGGGACAATAAAGGGATTTTTTTTTTTTTACACAACTTGAAGGAAAGATATTTTGGGAGGCAGCTGCAGATCAAAACTTTGCAAAATCAGTTTTTAATTCATTTAAGCTACAAGTCTTGGTCTCAACCTTGTACATCTGACTTAAATGCTGCCTTAAATTTGCTAAAGGGCTCAAGCTGAGAGAAAAAAACTTCATAGCATATAAGCAACCTAGGTGGACAGATGAACAACCTTTTATTGGTATCTTGGCTATTGTACAGCCGTTTTTCTATTTACAAATTATTATCTGAACAGTGTTGTTCAGAGTATGGGATATATTTTGCGTAACCTGACCTAACCCTGTTTTAAATTTCTCAACAACCTTATCCTGATTTTCTTGTTTTCTCTCTTGGACTTCATGTTGCTGTTTTGTTTTCAAATAAACCTCTAAAGAACTGCTCAGTTAATGCTAGCATTGATTAACAGAGTTGGACCTACAAGTTGGATGACCTTTGAAGAAAATTAGTGGGGATAAATTAAATTGAAGGGTATCACTTTAAATGCACACTGCACTTTTGATATTTTAATCAGAGAACAAATGTTAAATACTGTGCAAACTTTTCCTCAGAATGAATAATGATGTGCAACCTAATGATGAAAAATCACATCATCTTAAAATATACAGGAGCTTATGTTGCGATGGGCATAGAAATAGTTTGAAAGCTCCTCACAATTGTTTTGTTAATGGATATTAAAACGTGTGTTTAAAAGATTCATTTTCATAATGTAATTCAAAGAGCTCTGTGACGTGGGATGACTTTTACTTTGGCACCTGGTAAGCCTTGAATGGAGGCTGGTGAATATGTATTGTCTATAATAATACTTTTTTTTTTTTTTTTTGCTGTAGGATACATTGATTATAATAATAAAAAAAAAAAGCGACAATTCTTATAGTACAAATCAAGGTTAACAATTTTGGCTCTCTTACCGGGGAAGTAGCAGCTCTACTCCAACTCCGAATATCTCCACAAAGCTTCTCGCCTCCCCTCGCAGCCCGGCTCTGTCTCGACCTTCTTGTCTCGCCTTTTCTGTCCAGCGACACGTCCGAGCGCCTTTCCTCCCCACAGCTTCACTATCATGTGTTTCCCCGGTAAATTATCCTAGTAATCTCCTCCGAAGTGGCATGTGGACGTTGCTGTGGGTCCGCCTACCGCGCGCACAGCTGATGATGCTGGGAGTCTCTGAGTGTCTGTCGGCGCGCGCAGGAGAACTTGGCACGCGCCTTTGCAATCGTTTTGGAACGGACTGTTCCATCACGAAGCCTGAAATCGCGCAATATTTTTCAGAGGAATTCTGCCGTCTGTTCCCATTATTGTTGACATGAGGGTCTTGCGCATTTATAGTTGCGTAATGACGGGGAATAAAAGAATAATAGCGAAATATTAACGATGAGACACCATTCATTTAAAGATTAGAAGGGTACCCCTTTAAGAACCGGCAGATATTGTACCCTTATTTTTATTAAAACTGACGTGTCTCCATTCTCACACGCATTTGGTAACGTAAACATTTGACTGGGCCATGTGCCACCGCTGTTGCTTACGCACACAGGAGGGACAGGGCTCTCTCTCATTTTTAGGTCATCAGCGGGATGCGCGTTTTGATGTAACACTGCTCCAGGGATCAGTTTGTTCCCCCCAGCTCAGGTTCGCCGAGGAGGACATTAAAACCTTTAGTGAAATTAGACCAGGTGCTTTCCTGTGTCGGCTTTTTAATGTCTAATTAGAAAAAAGCTTCCTCACAAACCTAAGTACTTTATTTCAGGGCTATTTCACCAACCTGAGGTCTAAGTGAAAATCTGTTTCCTTTATTTTATGATAAAAAAAAAAAATACATTATATTTATCATTAAAAATAATGATAATAATCACAATAACATATATTCATTAGACCCATTAGAATCGAGGTTAACACAGATTAAGATTCAGCCAATCACATAGAGGCAAAACTACTCCAAATGTATTTGGAATGAACATCTAGTCCTTAAGAGCTCTTATATTTTATATCTCATATATCTTCTTGTCTCTTCAGGACTTGGTGGCTTTAATTGTGTTAGAGCAGGGCCATGCACGGCCCAGGCTCTTGAGGACAACAGTTGGCTGCCTGTTGTCTAGACAGCATGAAGACCACTTGTTAAAGGTTCAGAATGGTGAAGAAAGGGCTTTTATTGTAGCTGTTGCCAGTGAGTTGCCAGTCTGAGCATATTGGCAACTGTCAATTTATTGAGATTTTTCCTACACATCCGTCTCCCTGATTTACAAAGAATGGCCTGAAAAAGGCAGATTGTGTACTACACAGTGGTGGGTTGTGAGGGTCTTAAAGGCCTTCACTGCTGACCTAAAATAAATCAGAAACACTAGCCTGCTTTCATTATCTAAACTTTAATTTTCTTCTTTCCCATTTTATTAATTTATTCCAAGCTATCCTTTCTCTCAGTTTTTGTCGGGTTTCTCTTGGCTGTAGTTGCTTTATGTTTTCCAATCAGATTTCAGCTTTAGTGCGTTGCTACATCAATCAAATCTGCCCAGTGCCTTGAAAATCAGCGTTACCTTAACAATATTAGTGAGGAACGTTTTCTTCAACCAGTCAGATTTCAGTTTTGCCCCACAGGACCAGCAGGCCCACCCCTACATCAGCATTTTCTGTCCTCTGATTGGTCAGTGAGAGCAAAATGTTTAAAGCCAAGTGGAGATACTTAGACTTCCTGCACAAAGGAAGTCTAAGTATTTGCTGTGATCACTAGATGATCACAGCAAAAGAAAAAAGATGGCGCCTGTGTGTGGGCTCGCCTCTGCCTGTCTCTCCGCTGGTCGATCTTTCTCACTGATCTCAGTAATCTACGCCGTTCTGTATTTCTTAGTACCCAATGGATGTGCCAGCGCTATTTGGACTTATGATCGCAGCTCTCTTTTTGGCATCAAAACGGCTATGGAATGCCGCTGCGGTGGCTGGGACAGCTACAAACAAACGTTCCCTCCACCGGTTGTGTGCCTGCCCTCTTGCCCTGAATACCTGCTCTTGTTGCGAGTCCCAGGAAACTCCAGGAAAAGGTCGCGGAGGAGAGGCTGCAGATCTGGTGTCCAGCTGAAGATCAAACATGCTGCACGGACTACTGGCTCTTCTCACTCTGCCCAATGCTACAGCTGGTTACGACCGGTCCCTCTCCAGGAGAACGCCATTGGAACCGTGTCGCCGCCGCCACCCCTGCTCCAGCCCGTCTGGGTCGAGCCACCGCCGTGCCGCGATCCTGATGGAAGCGCTGCCCGGCGATCAGGATCATTCTCATCTTCCATGTCAACAACGGAGTTTCAGCTGAGCTGCTGGAACAGCTGGACACCGCAGCGTCAGCGTTGGCTACGACAAATCCCGATTCGCCCAGTGAGTACGACAGTGATGTCATCAACATTGAGGTGTGGGTTGCTGAATGCGTGCTCCATTGCAAATAAAGCTCTCTCTCTTGGTGAACTCTTCTCCAGAGAAAGTCTGGATTTTATGTTCCTAACAGAGACTTGGCAAAAGGATGGAGAAATGTATCATCTGAATGAGTTGTGCCCTGCCGGCTGTGCCATTTTAGGGAAGCCCCGCCCCTGTCGCCGTGGCAGGGGACTTGCTGCTGTGTACCAGGACAGGTACACATGCAGAATAACTGAAACTGAACTTTTTTACTCGTTCGAAGTGGAAATGCTGAAAAGTAGTCTTTCAAACACTTTATAGCATCTTGATCNCCAGATCTGTCCACACCAACATCTGCCATCACTTTGGCTCCAATTTAAAGGCATGAAAAACTAATCAAATATCTTTTTTTTCTTTTAGATTACATCACATTGCTAGTGTGAGTACAGCAGGTTTGACTCACTAGCTTTTGGATCTTAAGGTCCAATACACTCAACGCATGCATGTAGCAAGCAAAAGTCTTGAAGCCGAAGTTGTCTTTTTGCCTTTTAATAATAAAAAACAAAGGGTAGCATACAAAATTAATTTGTTTCTAGCTTTTTCTAAAAAGCTAAACTAAAATGGTCAAAAGACTGTGTTTCTCCAAGGTCCAGTGGCTTCTGATCTGATCATTAGAAGATTTTTCTAATATCAGTTCAAGTATCCAATCAGAAATAAGCAATGTTATGTATCGTCCATCACTGGTCAAATATTTACTCTGCTGCTGCTGCTGCTGCAAAAAAAGAAAAAAATAAACAAAAAAAAGCATAATACTAATATATTAATCATTTTACAATACTAAGTAACCAAAATTATCATAGAAAAGATGGCTTCACCAGCTAGATTTCACTTTTTTTTAAGAGATTTTATGTGACAGACCAAAATATCATGACATTATGTCATGAAATTTTGGCTGGGGAGTGTTTGCCTAGTGGGTTAGAGCAACGCGCTTGGGCTCTGTGACGGTGCAAGTACCTGGTTTGATTCCCACAGCAAAACCCTTAACCCCACGCTGCTCCCTGGGTGCCGCACAATGGCAGCCCACTGCTCCCCATGGGGATGGGATAAATGCAGAGAATGAATTTCCCCATTGTGGGACAATAAAGGGATTTTTTAACATAACTTGAAGGAAAGATTCAAAACTTTGCAAAATCAGTTTTTTAATTCATTTAACCTACAAGTCTTGGTCTCAACAAACCTTGCACATCTGACTTAAATGCTGCCTTAAATTTGCTAAAGGGCTCAAGCTGAGAGAAAAAAACTTCATAGCATATAAGCAACCTAGGTGGACAGATGAACAACCTTTTATTGGTATCTTGGCTATTGTACAGCCGTTTTTCTATTTACAAATTATTATCTGAACAGTGTTGTTCAGAGTATGGGATATATTTTGCGTAACCTGACCTAACCCTGTTTTAAATTTCTCAACAACCTTATCCTGATTTTCTTGTTTTCTCTCTTGGACTTCATGTTGCTGTTTTGTTTTCAAATAAACCTCTAAAGAACTGCTCAGTTAATGCTAGCATTGATTAACAGAGTTGGACCTACAAGTTGGATGACCTTTGAAGAAAATTAGTGGGGATAAATTAAATTGAAGGGTATCACTTTAAATGCACACTGCACTTTTGATATTTTAATCAGAGAACAAATGTTAAATACTGTGCAAACTTTTCCTCAGAATGAATAATGATGTGCAACCTAATGATGAAAAATCACATCATCTTAAAATATACAGGAGCTTATGTTGCGATGGGCATAGAAATAGTTTGAAAGCTCCTCACAATTGTTTTGTTAATGGATATTAAAACGTGTGTTTAAAAGATTCATTTTCATAATGTAATTCAAAGAGCTCTGTGACGTGGGATGACTTTTACTTTGGCACCTGGTAAGCCTTGAATGGAGGCTGGTGAATATGTATTGTCTATAATAATACTTTTTTTTTTTTTTTTTGCTGTAGGATACATTGATTATAATAATAAAAAAAAAAAGCGACAATTCTTATAGTACAAATCAAGGTTAACAATTTTGGCTCTCTTACCGGGGAAGTAGCAGCTCTACTCCAACTCCGAATATCTCCACAAAGCTTCTCGCCTCCCCTCGCAGCCCGGCTCTGTCTCGACCTTCTTGTCTCGCCTTTTCTGTCCAGCGACACGTCCGAGCGCCTTTCCTCCCCACAGCTTCACTATCATGTGTTTCCCCGGTAAATTATCCTAGTAATCTCCTCCGAAGTGGCATGTGGACGTTGCTGTGGGTCCGCCTACCGCGCGCACAGCTGATGATGCTGGGAGTCTCTGAGTGTCTGTCGGCGCGCGCAGGAGAACTTGGCACGCGCCTTTGCAATCGTTTTGGAACGGACTGTTCCATCACGAAGCCTGAAATCGCGCAATATTTTTCAGAGGAATTCTGCCGTCTGTTCCCATTATTGTTGACATGAGGGTCTTGCGCATTTATAGTTGCGTAATGACGGGGAATAAAAGAATAATAGCGAAATATTAACGATGAGACACCGTTCATTTAAAGATTAGAAGGGTACCCCTTTAAGAACCGGCAGATATTGTACCCTTATTTTTATTAAAACTGACGTGTCTCCATTCTCACACGCATTTGGTAACGTAAACATTTGACTGGGCCATGTGCCACCGCTGTTGCTTACGCACACAGGAGGGACAGGGCTCTCTCTCATTTTTAGGTCATCAGCGGGATGCGCGTTTTGATGTAACACTGCTCCAGGGAT